CAGAGAGCGGGAGAGAGCTTACTGACTGTGGCCAGACTGTCCCACCAGTCATTCTGTTCATGAGTGACAGGTATATTGCAGCAGGGGTGATGTTGACAGGAGGGAGGGAGCCCTGCCATGGATTTGGGCCTTTGTTTTTCATAGATATGCAACATAATTTAACCATTAAGTCCTGCAGCATACGAATACTCACTAGCATGCCTGTTTTCGCTTCTCTGAGCGTGGTAGACCTTTTGAATCTTGGTTATCTCATCTTTCAATTTGACCTCCACACTGGTCCATAAGAAGCACTGAAATATAGCGTATGTCGAGCATGTAGGATAGACACCATTTCTTCTCCTTTTTCTTGCTTTGAGTTATTTGAATATCTCCTTCTCGCTCCTCTCACTTCATGAACTTTGTCCCTATATACTTATTTGCAATAAGTCTCTATTTGCTTATTCTTTTGAGGCTTTCTTGGGTTATCTCCCCCCAGGTAGATTCCAAAACTCTCAAGTCTCATTTCTCTTCTTGGCAGCTTGCTTGTGTCTCTTTTGTGGTGTCAGTCATGGAGGTTGATCAGCAGTAAAGCGGATCCATCATTGTGAACGCTGCCGTCCAGACACCGCCAGGGCCTTTGTCTTCCCCATTGTCTTATTCTACCAAGTCAGACCTGGTTTCCCAGATGCAGAAGGGACTCTATTGACATTCTATTTGCAGGGTCTGGGCAAGCCCCTTATTTATAGTAAAATCCTTTGTATAGCGATCTCATATATGGTGCCCGGAAATTGCTCATGGCTAGGTCAGGCCATAGGTCAATGTAGCCATAATGCGAAGCTATGAATTAATGCTCTTTAAGAGTCTCTGGAGCTCTCCAGAGAAGTGTTTTCACAGAGTCATCCTGGATGGATTTCTGTGTCAGAGACATTAAATTTAAGTTCAAAAATCTCTGCTTTTATCAGACCAAATGAAATAATTTTTATTGCCTTGAGCTTTATAATTAATATATCGGATGGATCAAATAGACTCGAAAGAGATTTATGAACTGCTTGCTATACGTGGTACAGCCAGGAAGTGTTTCCTTCCAGAGCATCCAGGAGGCTTATCAGTGTGAACTTCTGGGGATATAGACAACTGGGGATGAACCTTATCTCCTTTTTAGTAACTGAGACTCGGGGCCGGTACCTTAATCTTTTTGCATTTTGGTTACTTCATCTTTCAAACAACTCCTGCTTCACATAAGTTCTGTAGAACCCAACACAATGATATATGCCCAGCATCCAGCAGAGAGAGCTAGCCCCACCATAGCTGTGTAGTTGACAACCTGCTTTTCTTCCTTCTCAGCAAGCTGTTGGGTCACAGGGAGGCTAAGTGGGCAGACGTGATCTGGTACCACTTCTCAAGGGGTAATGAATTATGGGTTTGTGCTTTTTTTTGGAATGGCTGTGTTAGCCAGACTTCCACTGCTCTGATGAATAACCCAGAAAAACAATCCAAAGGAAAGGAGATTTATTTTGGTTCAAAGTTTCAGAGGTTTCAGTCAATAGCAGCTAGGTTCTGTGCTTTCAGTGTTACCATGAGGCCGAGCAGAGCATCGTGGCAGAGAGGGTAATAGTGGTGCACAAAGCTACCTACTTCAGATGGTCAGGATGCAGGAGGAACTTAGCAGGAGGGTGTCAGGGCCATAATATGCTCTCCAAAGACACACCCTCAGTGGCTGAGCAGGACAGCTCCACTACCTCTCAAAAACCTATTTGTATGTTGAACCTGTTATTGGATTAGATCATTGATTAGGTCAGAATCCATGTGGCCTAGTCACTCTCCTTAAAGTTCTACCTTGGGATACTGCTGCCTTGGTAATCAAACCTTTCAGCAATACAGTTTCATGCCAAATCATAATTGTTAATGAGCAGTACTCTTCCTCTAGTGAATGAGTACCTTCAGCTATCTACTCTTGCATACTCTGGAAGCCATTTTTGAGTCTACCTGTTCGAGCATCTCTTTGAGGAGTCAAGGGATAAACCAAGAGCAATGAAAGCTTTCTTTGCTGCAGGAAAAGCTGGTACCATGCTCTATATGCATGGAGAAGCTCCCCAGTGCATCATGTGATACCTGCTTACGTCTTTGTCACCTTTTTAAAGGCATTCACCCCACAAATTATTCATCACCATTTTCAGTATACAAGTCAGTACTGTATGTGGCCCAAAAGTGAATCTCTTTGAAGGAATAGATCATTGTGTATGACTATTAGGATGTGTAATAGTGCCCTCCATGAGATATGAGTGGTCATGCTGGTTGGGAATAGGGAGGGTCCGTGGACGTTCCTTGCTTTCCAACCAGTCTTGAATATCAAAAAGCATAAGAGAACCAATGTGCATGCTATCAGCCCATCTCCTGTCATTTTACTGAGATGGAAGGATGCTTTGAGCCTATTGCCATAAGAAGAGAATAGGACCTCAACCAAAATCAAAGCATGGCTATTACTGTCCCCTCACTTCCTCCCCCTCCTCCTCCCCGTCTCATGGTGCTCTACCACTGAGCTGCACCCCCTCCCTCACTGTCACTTTCTGAACTAGGACCATCTCTAAGCCGGCCCCTCACCTCCTCTTATCACAATTGTAGCTACCGAGGCCTACCTTTGTTACTCCCTTTCACAGGCACTCTTTCTGTATACATAGGTGTACTGCTCTGACAGCATGTCACCAGAAACTTCTTTAAGACTAGGATTCCATGTGTGCCAGGCAAGCGTTCAACTATATACCCGGTCCTCTTTTGACTATTTTATTTTAAAGTTTGAGGCAGAGTTCCATAAGTTGCCCAGTCTGGCCTTTAACTCCCCTTGGCAAGCCTTGAACTTACGATTCTCCGGCCTCCACCTCCCAAGTAATTGGTATTGCAGACCGCTATCACTAGGTCTGACTTGGAGCTCTTGATTCAACAGGATATTCTACCTATGGTCCCTTTGGTGACTACTATAAAGAACAGTTTGGATGTTTTTAGTCTCTCTCTATTTTCTCTCATCATCATCGCATATCATCAGGGGATACAGTGAATCGAAGGCATTCAGATTTTTTTTTGGTGGCAGAAATATATTGAGAATGGGGAAGAAATCTTACAGGAGATCTGCGTGTGTATAGGAGAAAGGCTGGGGCCCTGAGACTTTTTTGGCATGATGGTGTGTATGGGATTCTTTTTCTTGTGTGTGGGAAGATACTCAGATGTGAGCGTCACTGAACATTTTGTATCCAGTTCACTCAGTTGTGAAACTTCACTTCTCCGTTTGGTATTATCCCACCTCTAGCTTATTTTTACCACTTAATAGACTTCAGTGTATCTCTTGAATAGGAAACCTTAAGCTTATTTGCTTCTTAAACATACTTAGGTTTTCCCCAGAAAGTACCAAAAATGGAGAAGAGGACAATCGAAAGGGCAGAGAGTACTTGGGCAAAACACATCTCCTAGGCAGAGTAAAATTTTGGCACATGTACAGGCCTTGGGCGGCTACTTGTAAAGCCCTCTGCTTGCTATGCAGATGTCTTTCAGATCCAGTGGTCATGTAAGGAAAGTCCATCCTCCTAAGACCACAGAGAGTGGCTCATTCCTCTGCCTCCCTCGAACAGCCAACGCTTTCCTTGCAGAGGATTGTCTGCCTGCTTGTAGATGGAAATCAATGACTTAGAAACTGATTAAACAATTCTGTAGCAACTGATAAATGGATTAACCCTCTGTAATGTAATTCTGCTAGCTTTCGTCTTCTGCCTTCCGCAGGTAAGTTTTCTATTCCTGGAGGCATAGCGGAGGCATGGAGGAAGCAAAGGCCAGAGGGAGTCATATTAAAGGGGGCGAATCTGTTTATCACTTACTGTCTGCCTAGTATTTCTGCTCACATATCTGCTTCCTCTTCACAGATTCATACCCTCAGGGACCCAGATTAACATTAGCCAGAGAATAATAAAAGATAGCAGCAGACACTGAGGATGCTAAGGAGGAAGAAACCTTGGTGGTTAAGGCTGATTCCACAAACGGGGAGACTTTTCTTTTTAGTGACCACCAGGCAGTGTGAATATCGCTAAGACATGTCTACGACAGGAAGAGAGGAGCAAGAAAATGGAAGGATTCCCCCACACAAGGAACCTGCCCTATGCTTTTCAGCCAGGCCCTAGTAACTGGGAATGACTTGGGTCCTCCAAGGCCTGTGTATTACCACAGGGCTCTGTTTTCAAGGCACACCTGAAGAGTTTTCACTGCCTTTGTTTTGACATTCAGCGAGGGTAGGTTATAGAGTTATTGTGTTCAGTTGCTTGTGAAGATATTAAACCTATGCTCATTCCTTCACGATTTCATCCATCTTGGACACTGAGCTCCTGAGCTCCGTGCCCAGTCAGTCTAGGTCCAGTTCTAATGCTAGGCATTTGGGGTCTTCAGACGGACGTATCCTAGTTGCTTTCTGTGGCCAATGAGTTGACGCTCCTGAGAGTTGAGGCCAAGATCAGACAGCTGTGTACAAGTTTATCAAGGGTCCTCAAGAGTCTCTGCAGCATGCTGTCTAGAGGTGACTGGCCAGATGCTGACTAAGCACATACTTCTCAAAGGTGAGGCCTGGTCATTGGTGTTCTTACACCCTGAGTCACCATTTAAAATTTCCATGTTTTGGAGTCTTTGCAGGATTAACAGAGGTTTACTTGATTAATGCCTTTTAAAACAAGCCATTCCTGAGTAGTTTATTTAGAGATGGAATCAGAGGGGTAATGAGGCATCCATAAAAAGATTGAAGTGGGAGAACTCACAAAGATGAGATTCTGAATGACTTGCAGGATAAGTACCGTTGGGCCAAGGAGGATCAACAAAGCAAAAGCAACCAGCAGATTCTAGCCCAGTTGCACCAAAGGTTGTCCAAAGGTTGTAACAAACGCTTGCATTCTAAGCTTTTATTCTTCCTGGAAGAGACTGTGCCACACTCCAGTAGAAGAGTTGGCAACCTCTAAGTCTAAAATTGGAATTGTTTTATCATGTTTCCACAGCCCAGAAAGGACCAGACGGGACAGTCATTCCCAATAACTACTGTGACTTCTGCTTGGGGGGTTCCAACATGAACAAGAAGAGCGGGAGGCCGGAAGAGCTGGTGTCCTGTGCAGACTGTGGACGCTCTGGTGAGTGTGGCCCCTTCCTGCATGGTGTGCTGTAGCCCTCTTCTCCCTGAACTACTTTGCCGTCTCTCAGTGGCTGGGGGGCGGGAGGAGAGTGAAGGGATGATGACGATGACTTCGATGGGGAAAGGGGTTTTCAGGTCATTTTCATGTTTTCCTTCTTTGGGTCTTAAGGACCAAAAACCATCTTTCTCTGGCTCCCAGAGGAAAGGAAAAGGAGAAAGTCTGGCCTTTTTGTAAGGTGGACATTACATTGTATGTGTTGTTGTGGTCAAAAGTGAGGTAGAGTTGAGACCCCTGGAGACTCCAGGCAACATGCTATCTTGTACTGGATGATGAACCTGTAACAAGAAATCGTGTTTGTTCTGTGGAAATACCTTGAACAACCCCAGAATGTGGAGACATAAGAATCAGGGAAACAGCCCCATCCTGAACTTGGGGCTCAGAGATTCCTGGGCTCCTGTCTACCGGCATGAACCTACCACCATCATTGGCCCCTGTATGCTCATGTATAATAGAACAGAGCTACCTACACATCAAGGAGTCACGAGGGCCAACTGTAGCTGGCCTTGCATACTCTCTTCATCTCCCATCGATCCAAAGACTAAAGGACCAAAAAGAGACTTTGGTCTTGTTCCTTCATTCTTAAAATGAGTTAGCGTCTTGGGTACGAAATGGTTTTCAGTTGTAGATAAATCATTATTTTTGCCTGATCATGGTTGCCTGGTGCTTACCCCCGCTTTCTTCTATGTCCTAATTAGACCAAAGCCCAAGGCAGTGAGGAGAGATTATTTCAGATACAATCTTCAGTCTCATCAGCTGCTTGCTATAGGCGAGGCACTTTGATTGGATGGTTGGGTCCAGCATGAAGGGACATTTCATCTTATACCTTTTGATCCCAGTGTTATTTTTAGCCTCAGTCCCAAGAGAAGGACTGAAGTGACTCCTCTTAGTTTTCTGCAGTAACTCAGTTCTCCCTGTTGTGCCCTTAAGTCTTACCTTTAGCTCTTATGTGTTTTGAAGCTAAGGTTGTTTAGGGCTCTAGACAGCCTTGAGTAGGAAACCAATAATTGGAAACAGGCTTAGTGTCCATGGCATAAGACCCTTTACATTTAATTCTCAAGGACCCTGCCAGGGAGTTCCTTTTGTGCAATTTTGTCAATTCATTCATAGTCCAAACATGATACATAACATTGAACTTTTGCTGGGAAGATACGACCCTTACGACAGACGGCTCTGGTGTTCAGAGTTTTAAAAAGAAATTTAAACAAATGAACTTCAACCCGGTGCTTTTTTATTTGTTTTAAGATCAGGCAATCAAACATCAGTTCTATCAGAAGCAAGGCCACTTGGTGGTGTGGTGTGCCAAGCGGGGTATTGCGGGCTGCTGTAGGCTTTGGTGGGTTAGAGAAGGCAGCTTTAGAGTTCTCACTGTAAACTCCTGTCATCTCTCCCTCTTCTTTCCAACAAAGGATGAGGTACTTCAACTGATCCCTGGGCATCAAGAATAGGCTTTGTTTTTGTTTTTGTTTTGTTTTTCTCTAAACGAAACCTCTCTTCATACAATTTTTTCTCAGTGTTTCTTTCCTTGGATCTGTCTGCCATGTGCCTCACGTGTCATTTACAGTGCCATAGGTGTTCTCACTGCAATTGCTGGGAATTAATTTGGCAGGTCATTGTTTAACACCTGACTCAAATGTTCCTGAAATAGTTCATATACAGGTGGCATTAGCCTCTGGGGAGGGCTACTGAGGCAGGTGGATGGCTACATCTCTGGGGCCTCCGCAGGATCCATCCAGAGAAGGGTATGAGTGGAAGAGCAGCTTCTCCCTGCTCAGCTACCCATTGCCTCTGTTTCCTGGGAGAAAGTGCCTTGTCTGAAGCTGGCATGGAAGGGACCATCACTAGTGTATTGGGTCCAACAGAGTATGAAAACAAATTTAAGCCTGAGTTTTACAGGTTGCAGGATTTTTCAAAGCCCTGTTTTCACCTTTCAGTGTATCTTGAGTTCAAGTGGGTAGGACGAACCTTCTAGAGTAGCTAAGACCTGGGCGTGTGGAGTGGCCATGGTGTGAGTTTACAAACATTTCCTTCAGGGTTAAAGAAAGCCAGAAGTTCTTCTGAACCACCAGTTAGACTTTCCAACTGATCTTTGCTTTTGGTGCAAATGAACTACATGAAATCAGGGTGGAACTGAAAGATCTGTCAATGAATGGGATTAGAGGTGGGTGAAAATAAAAATAAAATGGACGGAGGCTTAACCACTTTGAATGGGTTATCTGACAGTAATACCTTGGTAAAGCTGACTGTCAAAGTGACAGACGAACATTGTTCAAAGAAACGTCAACCGAAACTACAAAGAAATGCCAACAAGGCTTTCAAAACACCAAGCAAAAGCATTGTGTGGGGCAGGGCTGAGTGAGCTTGTGCCTCTGTGCGAGCGGACCAAAGGAGATATCACGCTGGTATCCCTTACTCTCAGAAGCCGTGGACACACGTATCATGGTAGGGATGAGACGTTTTCTGGGAAGTGGAATCTTCCTGGAAATGTGTGCTTTGTCCTAAATCCCTGTCATCAGGTGATATACCCAGTTAGTTCCTTTTGGTCTAACAGTGGCTCATTAGCTTGCTGTTAGGAATATAACACTGTAATGACATAATGAGAATATTAATGATGCTGTCTGTTGCTTAACCCATGTGCTGATATATTCATCATACATGTCAGCTCATTTGGGAGGAGAAGGCAGGAAGGAGAAGGAGGCAGCGGCCGCAGCACGTACCACGGAGGACTTATTCGGTTCCACGTCAGAAAGTGACACCTCAACTTTCTACGGCTTTGATGAGGACGATTTGGAAGAGCCTCGCTCCTGTCGAGGACGCCGCAGTGGCCGGGGTTCACCCACAGCAGATAAAAAGGGCAGCTGCTGAGCACATGGGACAGACTGTCTGGCCAATTAGCCACCCCCTCTGACTCTGGTCATTGTTCTAGTTCTGATATATATTTTTAAATGAAAGACGACTTGGGCGTTTCCCTTTATCCTTGTCTTCTTCCTTCTACCTCCCAGTGTGTGTCTCTCCCCCTCCTCACACCCTTCTATTTTGAGTACAACAGAAGCACAAACTACTGAAAACAAAACAACAAAAGAGCAGGATGAGAGTCCTCCAGGGAGAGGTGGCATCATGGTGGGCTATTTATTTTCCCTAGAAATAGGAAACTAGGTGCATTTTCTTTCTGCTGGGGGAGGGCATCTTTTTGACAGGAGCAGAGTTGATTTCCCCTTTTCTCAAGAGAGGAGGAACAGGAGGTTTGAAAACAAAGAACAAATAGCATTAACAGTTATTATGTGTATATAATAGCTTTAGATTCAGATGAGAGAGGGGAGAGGAGAGAGAAAGAATCAAAGAAATGGAAGTGATGTCTTGTTAGAGGCAAGCTACTGTGTGCACACGTGTGTGTGTGTGTGTGTGTGTGTGTGTGTGTGTGTGTGTGCGCATGTGTGTAGAATTTCCTCAGTGGGAGTTGGGGACTCCACAGAGCAGACCCCTCCACATGTGTCCTTTATGACCTTTCCATCTTTGTGCTTGTGAGAAAATGGCAACCATCCCAGAAAAGCCTGGGGCCACTTGGGTCTGGCCTCCCTCCAGCACTGGCCCTGAGCAGCAGTGGCTGCCTCCCGCGGCTCCTCTCCTCTCTGCTTGTTGCTGGGTTTTCCTCGCTTTCCTCCTGGCAAAGATCAGCTTCCAAAGCACAGAATGGAATGTCAGCAAATCACAGGCTCGGCTCTGACAGAGCAACTGAGGCCGGCGCCCCCAGAAGGAAGAGCGATACTACAGTGTCTCTCCCCTCCCTCCGCCCCCGTGTAAAAGCATGTAGCCTCCCACTGGATGATGACGTCTTCCGTATTTCTTCTACTTTTTATAGTGCCTGCCAGGCACTTTGTTTTATCTTTCCAATAGCACTTCCTGAAATAAACCAAAGCAACACTTGGTCCAAGGCCTCAGGGATAGAGAAGACTGTCCACCTCATTGGCAGTCCCTGAGAACAGAACTGGGAGGCCCTCCTTAAACAGGTACGTCCTGCCTGAATTGTTTCACAAGTGCAAAACCATCATAGTTTTTTTGTTTGTTTGTTTTGTTTCCCCCTTTTTTCCCCCCTTGTTTATTTCTTTCCTTTGGTTCTTCTAAGCTTGCTCTTTTGTGTTTCTGGGTCCTCCCGTTGTGGTGCTGGGGTGGTGAATGGACTCTGGCCTGGGTGCACATGCTGGGCCTACCTGCTGGGCTGATATGGGCTTGGGGGTAGGGGAGGGGCTCTATAGAGAGAATGACAAGCTTTTTGGCTTCTGGCTTCTGGCTTCTGGCTTCTGGCTTCTGGCTTCTGGCTTCTGGCTTCTGGCTTCTGGCTTCTGGCTTTTGGCTTCCACTGCAAGAGAAAGTGGCTGGGGAGATGTTTGGCTGACTTTTCCCTTGGTTAAAAGGAAGTGAAGTCTGTTGGCCTGGGTAGGAATAAAGAGGCAGAGAACAGTGTACTGCATGTCTAGGGTAGTATTTTGGGCTCCGGGGACCTGTTTCTCAGCCAAGGGACTGAGATTAAATTAAAGATGTCCGGGCCGGCAAGATGGCTTATTGGGCAAGGGTGCTTGCAGCTAAGCCTGATAACCTGGGTTTGATCAGTGGGTGCCATGTGATAGAAGGAGAGAACTGACTCTTACAAGCTGTCCTGATAGCCACGGGTGCACCACGGCGTGTGTATACACACAGATACCCAGGAACATACATGAGTATGTGCACACATACACACACAGAGTAAACTAGCCAGCCCACCAAACAAACAATAACCAAGTAAAAGACCCGTGACGAAGCACAACACTCCGCTGGACTGGTTTGAAGATTCTGAATCCCCACAAAGTATGGCCGGGGTGTTGGGCTCCCGTGAGCACACATTGTGAGGGCCTTTGTGGTTGCCTAGTCATCTGGCTGCTTGTAAGTACCAGAAGAGGTCTGCC